CAAATACCTTCGCCCACATTGGAGTCCCTGTACTGCTGTGTTTTGTTCTAGGGTCGCGTCCGTTTTCGGCTTAAAGATCTCTCGTCAGATCGTTAAGCCAATTCCAAAAGGTGGTGTTTAGTGGGTAAAAGTCTCCACATACCCACGCAGTCGGCTGCGACGTACGCTATGAGCATTCACCACCTCCCTCAGCCGTTACCGGAGGGTTACCTAGGCTGCACTAAAAGTATCGGGAATGGAATATTTCCACTGTTCCTGTCATATTAAAATCTTTTTAATTGAAAACTCCTTGATTTTGAAAATCGAATACCGTTTATTTATTTAAAAAAAAGATTCTCGGTCTTGTCACGTCGTTGAGAAAATGGAATTGACTCGAGAAAATTCAAGAGCGATGATTTATTATGACTTTCGAAGTGATTTAAAACAAAAACAGTCTGTTGACCGGATGATTTCTGTATTTGGTGATGAAGCCCCATCCAAAACCACAATTTATCGCTGGTTTGCTGAATTTCAACGTGGACGTGTCAAGCTCAGTGATGATCCCCGTCAAGGTCGTCCAAAAACTGCCCAAGAACCACCCAAGAAAACGTTGATGCTGTGCGTAAGCTGACTGAGGAAGATCGACATGTGACATACCGCGAAATTCAGGCAACTTTAGACATTGGCATGAGTTAAATACAAATAATCTTGCATGAACAATTAGGTGTAAAAAAGTTGTTTTCCCGATGGATACCGCATTCGCTCTGTGAAGAGCAAAAAGCGGCTCGCGTTACTTGGTGCGTCAGAACTCTCGAAAGATTCCACGCAGGATCCTCAAATGCTGAATACAACATCGTATCAGGTGACGAATCCTGGATATACACGTACGAACCCGAAACAAAAACCAGTCACGAGTTTGGGTGTTCGAAAATGAGTTAAAGCCAACAAAAATTGTTCGTTCACGGAGTGTTGCAGATAAAAATGGTGGCCACGTTTGTCTCCAAAACCGGCCATGTTACGACTATTCCTCTTGAGGGACAAAGAACGGTTAATGCAGAATGGTATGCTAGTATTTGTTTGCCACAGGTCGTTTCTGAACTCCGTAAAGAGAACTGCAACCGCCGCATCATCCTCCATCACGACAATGCGAGTTCTCACACCGCACACAGAACAAAAGAGTTTTTAGAGCAAGAAAACATAGAATTATTAGACCATCCACCGTACAGCCCCGACCTAAGCCCTAATGATTTCTATACTTTCCCTAAAATAAAGAATAAATTGCGTGGACAGAGATTTTCATCGCCTGAAGAAGCTAACAAAACGGCCATTTTGGAGACCCCAACTTCCGAATGGAATGGTTGCTTCATTGATTGGTTCCATCGTATGGAAAAATGTGTCAAATTTCGCGGAGAATACTTTGAAAAGTAATAAATACATTTTTAAATAGTAATATTGTGTCATTTCCTTGATTCCCGAAATTTTCAGTGCCGCCCTCGTACCCTTATTTGCTTCGGGCGCAAAGAAAAATCTAAGTGGTATTATGCCATTATGATAACAGGTTGTGAAGCATTACATCTTCATTATCGGGGAGAACGGCTCTGTAACTTTCCTGGTGTTAAGTTGTCTGCAGGTGTTCAGGGACTGTGGCCACTTACCACCAGGTGCAAAGTAAGTTTCGGTTGCCAATTCAGTTTTATAAAATATCACTCCCTCCCATGATTCCATGCACTAATTCTATCACCACTTAAACCAACACTACTTTTCATTTGGCACAAAAGTATAAAAATAATACTGTCATAATCGAATTATTTTTACTAAATTACAGGGCCGTCTTATAAATGAAATAAATAAACATTGCCAGTAGGCGGTAGTAGACTTATAAGCTCAAATAAGTTAGGCTCAGCTCATTATTTAATACTTTGTTTGTTACTATCAGTTGTACTGTTGCAATAATTATTAAAAATATAAATTTTATGGAATTTTTCTATGATAATTAAAATTTTTCTTAATTACTAATTTGAACTGGCTAATACTCGTTAATACTTGGGAAACCACGGTATGTACACTAATATGAATACAGTTGTGATTAAATGTAATATAAGCAGGGATGCGTGCCTACGGTACTATTCATTTGTTGGGCGCTGGCAGAATAACAGCGTTGTAGGCAACTGCATCATTTATGCTGAGCTAGAGCCCATTCATTACTACACAATGTAATATTGTTTATTTCTGTGTGTACTGCTCACTGAAACTTTATTGGTGGTAATGAATAAATGTTTTATTATTGTTTTTTTTTTTTTGTTTTTTTTTTCTATATAGTTTTCTCATCTGGTTGAGATGTATAAATATATAATTATAAACGAAAATGAAAGGATAAATATACATAAATATCAATAAAATAAAATAAATACAAAAATACATAAATAAATAAAAGCCCAACCAGATGGAAGCCCTCGGCAGGGGAGACCAAACGGCCAAGGGTTAGGAAGAAAGGGAAAGAAACCGGCGGACGATGCGGGCAGTATCAAGGAGCACCGCCTTCTGCATTTGAGCCCGGAGCGGTCCGTCACGGAGTCCCAGTCGCCTCAGATAACCAGAGAGGCTAACTGGGATTAGCCCATTCGCAGAGACGACTACAGGAATAATTTCGGCCGGCAGACCACCCCACATGTCCGTCACCTCGTGAGCCAGGTCCAGATATTTTGATTGCTTATCTGTTTCGGCTCTCACGAGGTTCTCGTCATACGGGATGGTAATATCGACCAAAAATATCCTTGACTGTGCCCGGTCCATCAGCACAATATCAGGCTTATTCGCAAGAATAGTCCTGTCTGTGATGATGGCCCGGTCCCAGTAGAGTCTGGCGCGGTCATTTTCGAGCACGGCTTCCGGCAAGTACTTGTAATACGGCAATTTCCGGTCCACGAGACCGTATTTCAGAGCGAGCTCCTGGTGTAGAATTCTGGCTACTAGGTTGTGCCTGTGCAAGTACTCAGAGTTAGAAAGCGCCGAACAACCGGAGATGACATGCCTAAGTGACTCCCCGGGATGGCGACAAGCTCGACAGACGTCGACGGTGCCATCCTTTAGGATGTATCTCCGATAGTTGTTGGTCTTAATAACCTGATCCTGTATTGCACAGACAAAACCCTCGGTTTCCCCGAAGAGGTCACCGAAACGTAGCCAGTTGAGGGAGGCGACTGTATCTACGAAGGGCTCATGTAGAGCCTTGTAGTACCTCCCGTGGAGCTCCTTCTCCTTCCATACGGTCTCCCGGTCGGAATTGCTAAGCACTGCTGGGTCCTGCCATTGCTCGTTGGCTAAGGATAGAGGGGTAAGCCCTTTATCACAAGAAATGACGTCCTTATAGAATGGATCATCCGATCTCGTCAAGAAGTACTGACGGAGACTGCACACTTCGCGATTATGCATGGTGAGCGCGCTCAGAAAGCCACGCCCACCATACTTTCGCGGCAAGTACAGCCTTATTATTGTTATTATTATATGGGTAGGTACCTGTAATATTACGACTTCTAATATCGTTATACCGATAATGAGCATTCCATCCTTTCTTTGTTTTACCGATAGCGACGCTTCTTCATTTTGTAAGAGGACTATTTGATCCATAACTATTCATTTACAATTATTTAAAAAGTGTGATATTATATAACTCCTTCATATCTATGAAAAATTAGATTAAAATGAAATTCCACTTTAGCTTACAGAAAAGGAGTACAATGAAAACTTTTTCAAATGAAACTCGTTATTCAAGTTAATTTTCTTTTATTTTGAAAAGTTTCCTATTTACCACATGACATTATTAAATTTTAAGAATAAAATTAAAAGGAGTGATTATATACTCTTTGAATAAAGTTTATTATTCTTTCTGAAGCTTTGCCTGCTTAATTAAGATGAATTATACAATGCACAGTTTTATATTGTGTAGTTTCTTTTCAAAGGCTTTTCTTACAAAATATGAATAAAGTAAATAAATATAAATATGGTTATCACCCTTAACATTTTATCGCTAAATGGCTTTTTTCAAAAATGAAAGATTGAACAAATTTTATACCCCATTTACTATTTAAATACATTTTTACTATCACGTATTTTGAAGAGTGAAATATTATCTGTAGAATAGCTTCAGGATATTTTCGCTACGACTAGAAATTAAATTGCTTTATGATCGAAGTTGTGGTATTATAAAACGTGGAGCGTAATCGAGCCTCTTTTGTAAAATATAGTTAAACTTTTGAACTGCGAGTATTGCTCCCTTAAACTCCAAATTTTATTAAGTCCTTAAATCATTTTTACGAATATATCTCCAGGGCTTTTCTGAACCGATACGACTCAGGAACGTTCAAAAACTCTTAGACCTTCTCAACAGGTCGATAACGCATCTCTAATTCCTATAATATTAATGTTCGTGGGAGACGGTGCTTATTTTAATTATAGCGCCCAGTCCACCTGATATTATGTAGATGTTGTGACTCAAAGACATCCACATCTATCTGCGATTAAAAATTTCTCATCTCTCGGAACTACAATCGCAGATAAGAACTGAATCTTCAATCACTATATGAAACAAAGCAGCATTATATGATACGCCGGATCAGGGAAGAACCACGCTCACCCATTACATTTTATGCCCTACACATGTCGGGTCGACTAGTTCATGCTGCAGCAGTTATGTGCTACAGCATGCCTCTACTCTAAAATTTCATCTGTTATCAGGATAGTCATATGCTTGTTGCCAAAAGAACGCTTATTTAAGTTAAGAAATTTAAAACAATAAACTTTAATAATAATGGCGTAGGGAAGTGACGACCCCATCGCCCGCTGACGTAACGTATATGTGACAAAACCGCTACTTCAACGCAGTCAGTCAGCACGTTGCCAAGAGGTGTTAGTGCCGTGCCTTGGCAAAAATTGAAGGTGCAAAGGCCCGCTTGTGCACATGGCCCACCATGCAACGGCGCCGGGTCTGGGCGTCTCCCGTTAAATGACGCCCACAAAAATGGATGATGGATTTGACTAGAATGCGCAAAGAGACGCTGCCTGGAGGTCTCCAGGGCGCGTCTGGAGCTGTCACTGGACGCGACAGCATGCGAACCACCAGCCGAGCGCGAGGTGCTGCACGACCAGCCAGCAGCCCCTCGCATCCATCATCCCCACCAGCTGGCTTGGTGTCAGCAGGATCTTCGCGGGCCCAGCAATCGGCACCCGCCACTGGTGGAGCACGTGGAATGCGTTGGACAACTCAAATGAATAGCAACGCATTGCAGGCGTATTTTAGGGTGAAATGGGGAGAAATTGGAGGTTTTGCGTATCGGGCAAGGATGCATCGACTTTTTGCTGAGCTGGAGCCATCTGTAACCGACACCGAGCAAAACCTGGCAGACCGAGTTCTGTATATCTTGCGTTCAAATACATTTGATATCACCGAACTCGAACGGCTACGACGTGAGGCTGTTCCTTCATCGGATGAAAATGCTAAGGCTGAGGATGCGGCGCCACAACTTGCAGAGCAACCGGCAAACGTGGATGCCGCCGTGAATACCCCAATGCTGGTGACCTATTTGGAAGCCAACCGGGACGCGTTTGCGTGACGCGTTTGCGAGACGGACTCAATTCCCTTTGGCGCCGCACTGGCAGTCTGCCGTATTATAGGCGCCAAACTTTCCACGGCTGGATGCACTACTGCACAAAGTATTGCTATCCCAGCCTGGAGAACAACAATTGAAGAACGTATCGCAAAAGCTAGGTCTCTCATCGGCAGACTGATATGCTTCAGGTCAGACAATACCATGCCAAGGATTGGCGACGAGGAGGGGGGATAATGCAAAAACTGAGGGAGCGCATAGACGACCTGAAGCAGAGAATCGCTGCTTGGGAAAAGCGGATTCGGCGATATACCGAGAGGTCGACACGGTTCAACCAGAATCGTCTCTTCCAGAGTGATCAGAAGAGGCCCTATGAATCATTGGAGCGACCAATGGTAAGTGGAACGGGCCCAGTACCGAATCAGGCCGACACGGGCGCATTCTGGTGCAGCCTGTGATCATAGCCCGTAAACCACAACGAGGGCCCTTGTACGGAAGTTGTGGCGAGTCAGTGTGCGGGTATTACGCCCATGGACCCCGTCATTATAACGCAGGATGACGTAGCTGAGGCGGTCCGTAGGATCCCGAACTGGAAAAGTCCGGGGCTTGACGGGTTACATCACTACTGGCTGGTGTGTCACGCTGTGCTCGCCCGACAGTTTCAAGAGGCTCTAAATCAGCAGTCGCTCCCGAGCCTTTTCACTACTAGGCTCACTCATTTAGTTTCTACAGATCAGTGTGCCACAGACCCGAGCAAATACCGCCCCATCACGTGTCTACCGACCATATACAAGACACTAACGTCCATTTTGAGCGCGAGAATCACTCGTCACCTGGACTCAAATCAGGTGATGTCGCGCGCTCAAAATGGATGTCGAGGCGGTGGTCGTGGAACCAAGGAACCACTCCTCATTGACGCGGTCATTGGCAAAGTGGTGAAACGCAACCGTCGGAACTTCTCCTCCGCCTGGATAGATTACAGAAAGGCATTTGACTCGGTGCCCCATACATGGCCAAAGAGAGTCCTCGAGCTGTACAAGATTGACTTTACAGTTCGAGACTTCCTCGAGCAGTGTACGGGGTAGTTGAGTACGATCCTCTGTCATCTAGGCGAGTGGATGACGGCTGCGGAAAGCCGAATAAGGATAAGAAAGGGTATATTCCGGGGCGACTGTCTGAGTCCAATCTGGTTCTGCCTCTCTTTGAACCCTCTCAGTACTTTACTGGAGGGCTCCGGGAGGTGATTTCAGCTTCAGAAAGGAGGTACAAAAGTGACGCACCTTTTCTATATGGATGACCTCAAATTATTCGCCTCCAGTCGCTCCCATCTTATGGAATTGCTAAACATCACTTGTGAGTTTAGCAATACTATTAGAATGGAGCTGGGGACGGATAAGTGTACGGTCCTCCGTGTTGAAAGGGGAAAGGTTGCTAACTCTGAGTGCATAGACTTATCTATGCCCGTCAACTTAAGGACCCTTTCCGAGGCTGAAACATACCGATACCTGGGTATGTCACAGAACATCGGTATCGATGAGGTTGGTATGAAACAGTCTGTTTGCGTCGTGTTTTATGCACGCTTGACCAAAGTGCTTAACAGCCTTTTATCCGGTATGAATAAGACACACGCATATAATAGCTGGGTCATGCCAGTCCTCATGTATACCTTTGGCATACTCAGGTGGAGTCAGATTGAACTTAACGCCCTGGATAGAAAAGTCTGCACTACAATGACGTCCCATAGGGTGCATCATCCGAGATCGTCGGTAATGAGGCTGTACTTGCCGCGAAAGCATGGTGGGCGTGGCTTCCTGAGCGCGCTCACCATGCATAATTGCGAAGTGTGCAGCCTCCGTCATTACTTCCTGGTGAGATCGGATGATCCGTTCTATAATGACGTCATTTCAAGTGACAAAAGACTTACCCTTCTATCCTTAGCCAACGAGCAATGGCAGGACCCGGCAATACAGAGCATTTCCGACCGGGAGACCGTATGGAAGGAGAAGAAGCTCCATGGGAGGTACTATAGGGCTCTACATGAGCCCCACGTAGATACAGCCGCCTCCCTCAACTGGCTACGTTTCGGTGACCTCTTCGGGGAAACCAAGTGTTTTGTCTGTGCAATACAGGATCAGGTTATTAAGACCAACAACTATCGAAGATACATCCTAAAGGATGGCACTGTCGACGTCTGTCGAGCTTGTCGCCAACCCGATGAGTCACTTAGGCATTTTATCTCCGGTTGTTCGGCGCTTTCTAACTCTGAGTACTTGCACAGGCACAACCTAATAGCCAGAATTCTACACCAGGAGCTCGCTCTGAAATACAGTCTCGTGGACCGGAAATTGCCGTATTATAAGTACTTGCCGGAAGCCGTGCTAGAAAATGACCGTGCCAAGCTCTACTGGGACCGGGCTATCATCACGGACAGGACTATTCTTGCGAATAAGCCTGATATTGTGCTGATGGACCGGGCACAGTCAAGGATATTTTTGGTCGACATTACCATTCCGTATGACGAGAACCTCGTGAAAGCCGAAACAGATAAACGAACAAAATATCTGGACCTGGCTCACGAGGTGACCGACATGTGAGGCCGGCCGAAATCATTCCTGTAGTCGTCTCTGCGAATGGACTAATCCCAGTCAGCCTCTCGGGTCATCTGAGGCGACTGGGACTTCGTAACGGACCGCTCCGGGCTCAAGTGCAGAAGGCGGTGCTCCTCGATACCGCCCGCATCGTCCACCGGTTTCTTTCCCTTTCCTCCTAACCCTCGGCCGTTTGGTCTCCCCTGCCGAGGGCTTCCATCTGGTTGGGCTTTTATTTATTTATGTATTTTTGTATTTATTTTATTTTATTGATATTTAAGTATATTTATATTTTCATTTTAATTTATAATTATATATTTATAGAACCCAAACAGATGGGAAAACTATATAGATACCCCACATAATAATAATAATAATGTTTATTTCAGATATACATATTCATACCCATTTTTGTTAGTAATTTACATAAACTATGTTAGTAAAAATAAATTCAATAATAAAATAAGAATAAAATAAATTATATCTATAGAAAGAGAGCAATCATTTTAGAAACTTGAATGTCCCTCCCACATGCATTAGGATCCAATGCTTTTGAATGGGACTGTCAAGTCTATCTTGAATCATCCTCAAGATACCATTTGAGCTCTTCCGTAGTCTATATAAAATTGACGCAGTTCGCTTTCTTAAGATGCCATAAAAATCATCAACAGTGTCTAGAAAGGCCCATTAGCATCCTGAAGGCATTATTATACTGAATTCGAAGCGCATTGTAGGTTCTCTTCGTGTAGTCATACCACAGGCTGCAGGTGTAAAATGTTTGACAGTACGCCTTGAAGAGGGTTAATTTTATGTCATTTATACACCTAGCAAACCTGCGGGCAAGCATATTGCATCGAACCGCCAATGCGCGTCGATCTCTCTCTATATCATTGTTGTCTGTCAGATATTCGTTAACAATGTGTCCCAAATATTTAAATTGACGAACTCTATTTAATGGCACACCAAGGAGTTTTACTGGCAGCACAGTCAAGGGTTTCTTACCGTTAACACGAAACACCAATAACTCACTTTTCTTGGTGTTATAGATGAGCCCATGTTCAGCAGCGTATGTTTCACACACAGATAACAGTCTACGCAACGCACTCACCGATGGACTCAGCAACACCATGTCATCGGCATAACTTATATTATTAATCATATGACCGTCAACAGAACATCCTACCCTTGTTTCACTGAGTGCACCAATGAGCCCGTTTACGTAGAGACTGAACAGCACAGGCGAAGACAACCCCCGCCCCTGTCTCACTCCACATTCCAATACATATTCGTCGGATAGCTCGCCAGACCATCTGACCTGGTTAACTTGATGACCGTACCAATATTTTAAAGTGGTGATAAGTTCAGCTGAAACGGATATTTCATGCAGTTTTTTCCATAGTACGTCATAATTACCCACGTCAAATGCTTTGGAGAGATCTAGAAATGTAGTATACACTGGTGTTTGTCTCTGGGTGTAATATTTGACAGTATCCTTCAGCGACATTATAGCACTCTCTGTCGACAGGCCTGGTCTAAAACCAAATTGAGCATCGTTTAGTTGTATATAGTCGTTAAGTCGTCGTTCCAGCAAACCGTCAAGTACCTTTGCCAATACAGTTGCTAAGGATATAGGCCTGTAATTAGCCTTATCAGATATATCCTTACACTATAGGAACATTATTAGTTCGGCAGGTAAATAGGAGTGCCTAATACAAAAGGTATACAACATTGCCAGGACCCTTGGGAGATGCAGCCCTGCATTATGAAGGTGCTCGGTACTGAGACCATCGTACCCTGGTGATTTTCCTCTAGTCATCTTCTTCAGGAACAACCTAAGATCATTTGCTGTAATACGGACAGGTTCACCAGTCCTAACCACACAACCACCGCCTGCCTCCACTTCTGCTCTTCACTGCAATATCGATTCAACTTTAAGGTGATTTTTAAAAAGATTTTCTATTTCCCTCGGTTCACTAATCCCACTCACACTTACGGAGACAGAAGACTTAGGACTGAGTCTTTTCGAGAGTTTTCAAAATTTTGAATTTTTTTTGAATTGTTGAAATTGTTTTTTGAACTTGGTTATCTTGACATGCTTTTAATTTCGACTTGAACACTTTTCGCGATATACACATATCCTGGTATACACGTCCAACTCTTGGCCGGCCATGCCACACCCAGTTGAGGAATGCCCGCCTCGCTGTCTGGTGAGCATCCTTCACAAACTTATTCCAACCCGCAATGTTACGCCCTTTCTTTTTACTTTTAAGCGTGTTTACAATTGTATTATACAGATTATCAATAATTATTCTGCGGTCAAGGTTATTACATATTTGATCGCAACATGTACTTAACTCCCCAGGAAAATCAATATCTCTTAATATCTCAGTACATCTCTTACGGTAATTCAATTTGACACTGATGCCTCTCGCCCCATAAAACCTTATTAGTTACTTCTTTTAAGAGAGTAGATGCAATTGGCCTTATTGTATTAAGATTTACATTTACCACCAACGGGTGGTGATCAGACCAGTAGATGTCACAGTTGTTCACAGACTGCCGCGAAGCCTCGGTAACTATGCAATGATCCAGCCAGGTTGTGGTTCAATGAACAGCGCTACGTGCCAGAGTCAACGCCCAGTTTATCAATATCCATACAATTCCACTTCTGATCTATACAATAAATTTAGCAACTCTTTACCAAATAACTATTTGGGTCGGCATTAAAATCACTCATTATAAAAATCGACTCTAAGTTACAGCTTTCTACTATCGCTGCTATTTTTTTTAACAATGCCATAAACATTACTAATATTCCCCTTAACCACTCGTAGTAAGCTTAAATTGCTTGTGTTACGAGTGGTTCACGC